GCATGTTTGGTGGGATGGGGATGCGAACCCGCAGATTGCGAGTCGAGCGTCTTAACCATCTGGCCATGCCGGGCCCGCGTTACTTGGTGTTTTTTTCCTTATTTGATATGCTAAATGGCATAAAAAATCGTGAATTAATGTATATATATAGAGTACTCGAAAAAAGATATTCTTGTGTTTCACTTACTATTGACATAGAATAGTTATGGAATGAGATGCTATATTTTTTCCTGTAAACATATTTTATTTGTTTTGTAACATAGATAACAATTGTTGTTGTTGTTTGTGAAATTTCACGCAAAGCTATTCCAGGTCTGTCTGCACTAACCGTCCCTAATTTTAAAATGATAAACTAGACTCACAAGAGGGAAGGCAGCTAGTCAACACCACCCACCGTCAACTCATGGGTTACTCTAATCGAATAGTGGGATTTGACCGTTGCTCTTATAACGCTCCTGCGGCTCAAAAGCCCGGAGGCGAATTTTTATTTTTGCTATAAGAGGGCGCGTGTAAACAATTAGAATGGCCTTTTTTTCTTTTCTTTAAAATAAGCGTTTTATCTTAAAGTAGTGCACTTAATAAGTCCTTCTGATTTAGTTTATATACATGTGCCCTTCAGGGGCATTGCAGTAACTTTGAAGGTTTGTAATAAGAAAGTCGGATTTCGATTCCCGCTCTGGGCATAGCGCATGTAGCCCATTTTGAAGCTTTGCGCTTAAAAACAAACAAGCTACGTACATGATGATGTTATACCTCCAAACATTGACAGTACGTTACATATAGGAATTTTTCCATTTGTCCATTATTGCTATTTATAAGGCCCGAGCACGGTACGAAGGTTAGCATGCCAAATGAACCTAAGATTCCAGGACTCCATAAGAACACTAATTTCAATCTAAGTGCTCGATAGATTTAGAGAAAGAATCCATCCGTAGATCATGTTCAGTATGTTATCACATTCGTATGACTAAGACATAATACAGTTGCAATGAAAAGTTATAGCAATTGAAAGGCGTGATAACAAAACTATGCTTATGAAGAACATTTGATACTCAATTTTCATAAGCAAAAAAGATTTTCGTTTAATGTACTCAATATGCATATTAATGTCTATAAATATATACAACATTACTTTGATATTTTCCTTAACGTTTGTCTTTATTTTGCAGAAATGAAACTCCTAAGTTTGTATTGGTTTGCTGTTTTCACCACTAATCTTTTTGCTTTGAGAACATGTGGTAAGTTTCATATTTAGAAATTTGTAATTAGCCAGATTTTCTGAATACTTATCTAATACAAAAGATATTACATCCGTATACCTTAACTTTTATTTTTCTTCATTTCATGAACCTGATAAACATGCCATTGAGCAGTTTTTATTACTCACCTATAAATTTCAAACTCAGATAAAATGAAAGTTTCAAATTTAAATTTAGTCATGAATTTCCAATAAAACTGTCACTTATAAACTTTTTAACAAGTATATTTGAAATAAATATTGTGATCAGGATATGAGATTCTAAACATACTGTTACGTCTCTGGTCGTTTGTTAATTTCCCGTAAAAATTCCTTCCGAAAAACTTCAGAGATACAAGTCCTTTCTTAAATAAAACTAGTTTATGCTTTCTCAATACAACTTTGTAATACACTTAATTTCCACAGTCACTTTAACTTAAACACACGCTAGAATTCACAACGATTCACGCACTTTACTTACGGCTTGACTCGATTATCTGTCTCTATATCTCTCTGTCTGCAATTATTCATCCCCGTCACTTTATTTGCCGGCTTATATACTATAAGAGCGCGTGTCTAGCAAACCCTAGGACGTTCGACAGGTTCCTCGATCTTTCTAGAACTCCAGCGCATGCTTCCAGCGTCGCGCGACTTCCGCTGTAGTAACAATACACTACATTCGATAAATCTTCAGTATAACTCTAGAATTTCTAACCTTTACATTAAAACATAATTCAAAAACATAACCTAAAATAGATTATTCAAGATCTTTAAAACACAACAGTGCTAAGATTTTTGGACTTACAATTCTAAACTCTGGGGTTCGATTCTCTGCTGTGAACTGAGCACAGATAGCCCATTGTGTAGCTTTGCGCTCAAAAAATTCAATTATAATTTAACCCATTTTCATTCTAGACAATTATAGATCAGAGTGCTTTAATTCATTAGGGCTGGGCATGAGCTAGTGGTAAGCTTGCTCGGACTATGGATTTCAGGATTTATGGTTCGCAACCCATTACTCTTAAACTTGCACTACACCTTATGTGCATTATAAAGGTTCCAGTGAAATACTCATACTCAATAAGACGAGAGTAGAACAAGACTTGGTGGTGCAGGCTGTCTATCAGTTCAAAAAATTAGGAACGGCCTGCGCATATAGCCCTTAAATAGATTTGCGCTAATATCCAAAACAAAACAATAATCCTTGTGTAGTTTTATACGAAACTCTGAAACAAACAAACAAAGGATCTTCAATTCAAAACTTCTGTTATAAGTTTTGTAATAAATCGTGTGCTGTCCCGATTTTATGATAAGATTAATTCTAAGCTAAATAAAAGAAGAAAAAAAGCTTTATTAGTTTTTGTTTATTTTGCAATCAAATTGATGATCCTATTTTAATTTTGAATTTTTTTCAACTTTTGAAAAGTGGTTGCTATGGCACGAAACAAATTGAACTTAATTTGATTTGTGAATAGAACAGTCACATGGTAAAATTATATTACTCTTGATGTTTAGTTTTTTGGTTAAAGCTTAATTGGTGTCGTTAAACGAGATAAATATTTTTAAAAAATACGTAATATACTTTTAAAAATGACTGTTACTTAAGAAGAAACTTGTGAAACTTTTTGTGAGGTAATATTGATTTATATTTTATGTTGATTTCGAATATCAGGCTGATAATACCCAATAAAGATATCAAAATACAGTCATTACTTCTATCTATCTATTTATTTGGCTATTTGATTGTCTGCCTATATATCTACCTATCAGTCTAACTAACGTAAACTTAATATTGTGAGAACCTGTACTTACACTATACACACACACACATTTCAATATAAGTATAATTTGTCATAAATACATTTGACTAAGTACACACGTGATATTTTCAATATATGCCTGAAATTTGTCGTTTAACATTCAGAACAGTTACGAATCTGGTTGATTTAAATACACGCACGTGTACGCTATGTGGTTGTAGTGCAAAATAGTCAATTACTTCTCACAAGAGTAATGACAAAATGAACCTAAAAATATTGTCATTCGTGAGTTATGTAATATAATTTAAAACATGAACTGTCATCAAAACGTAGTTTCAACCAATACGTGTCAAATATTCCAAATTTTATGAATTTGTATAACTACTGTCAGAGTTATTTCAAATAAAAACAATCGAGGTAATGTTTCTACAAGCAAAAGAAAAACAAAGAAAAGAAAAGACTAATATACATACAGGAGGTTGAGTGTTATACTAAAATGAATATCAGAAGGTCACATGACAACTACAGCCGATATAATGTAGTGGTGAAACTGTATCTGAATTACGTTTTGACATTTACTGATGGATCTTGGAAGGGATGTAACAGCTAACCCTTTCCGCCGCAAAGTATTCATACATTCGGATCATAAAGATTTATTCAGATGTGGATTTAGAATTTCCAAAACTGTGATATTCATTTTACTTAACAGCTTTGGAAAACAAAGGAATATTGATCATCTTGGGGCACCGTGACCATCTAGAAAGAAATCTGTAACAAGTCGTACTCCAGACGTGATAAACAAAATGAGATGTGTTGTAACAAGTGAGAATCCATGAACATAAAGGTCAGTGGGGGAAAAAAAACCTTACACATATTCCAGGCAGTATAACCGAGAAGGATCTTTGTCTGGAAAAGCGACACAAATCACGTGACATATCAAGGAAAGGAAGATCAACTGTAGAAGACTGTAAGAACGATACATTGCTGGGTAAACTGACAGTACGTGGGGACATTCGACGAAGTGTATGTATACCTTCATAACTGCAAGAAGTCTTATGACATTTTCTACTGGCCACAGAAATACCGGCTTTGTACGGAAACGAGATCAGCAGGGTGTGGATTCACCAAGATAAGATTTCCAGCCATACCTCTTGTTCCCACCAGTGGCACAGCGGTATGTCTGCGGATTTACAGCGCTATAAACCGGATTTCGATACCCGTGGTGGGCAGAGCACAGAAAACCCACTGTGTAGCTCTGTGCTTAATTAAAAACAAACAAAAAACCTCTTGTTCAACCATCGTATACCCCAAGTAGCTAGATACTGAAACGAGTACTCATGCTATTCCGTAGACATGCCGGTCAATCCGCAGGACGCAGCGTCTACAGATTAATGTGTTATCGGACTATTGAAACAGGCGCTGGAAAAGCGTCATATTCGAACACTAGATGAATCATGGAGAGAGGAGTGGTATACTTTGGATATGATAGCCTTATGGTGGAGCCTTTTGTAATGGAAACTACGTTGTACGGCTATTGTCAAGATGCACGGTCGTCTGATAGAGCATAAATGAACTGAACTGTAAGGACGTGGTGAGACTCCAAAATCGTTTTATTATGACGTATTCAATCCTCTGTATATATGTATGTATATATAGAAAGGGAGATTTCTTAGGATTAAATGTAGAACATATAATAACTTCCGATCAAACGGATAATTTTTAAAAGTAATTCATTCTCTTTTCTTCCAGCTCCAACACCTAGCAAAAATTACCAGCAGTATGATTCTACCCATCAGTACGACGTTCTTGTACAGAAACAAACGTTAGGTGAGCGAGCATAACGTAACGAAATGCAATTTTCGTTCATTATATTTTTACTTTATTCCTTTGTGTCAATGTATTATTCATCCCACCTTTTGTTTCTGCGCTTATATGGTAATAAGAATATTGTTGGCGTGAATCCCGGCTAGAGGTTATTTATATAGACTAAATAATAACTCGACAGGCCTCCATTAATTGATCTGTTTATTAAACACTTATAAACGAATCTGAATTCAGCGTTTCATCCGTAGAATAAATGGTTTAGAATTGAAAAAAAGAGCATTCAGAGTTAAGTTGGAGATATCTTTCAAGATTTTGTTGATATAAAATGCTAAAAACAGGTCTCTCTATTCTGTTTTTAGAAAAAATTGACTCACCAACTGGAGGAAAAGTTTGCACATTTGAAGGAAGGTTATTTCCACACGGTGCTCAAGTCCCGAGGTCTGATCCCTGCGAGACGTGCCGATGTCTTTTAGGCGAAGTCTTTTGCTGGAAAACTTCTTGCGTTGATACAAAGCCAAGACCCGAATGCCAACTTGTCCACGTACAAGGAATATGCTGTTCTATTCACAAGTGCCGTAAGTCTTAAGTAGTTACGTTTATTTGTATTGTATAGCATGAATTCTAGTTAAACAACTGAAAAATATAAATTACAGAATTAATGAACTTTATGAAAAAAACTCACTCAAGTTTTCTACCAGTTTTGAACTAATAGATAGTATTTCTTCTTAATTTATAAATAATAAATTTCTGCTTTCGTGAAAGTAAATAAAGAACTCAGAATTCTTCTCGTTCTAAAACAATACCAGAATATCAGTTTATTCTAGTTTTTACGGTCAAAAATTATCAAATATTCTCATCTGTTAAAAGGAATAAGACTAGCTTTAAACAAAAATGCACCTTTCATATTTTATTAATATTTCAAACAACTCATTTCCATACAATAAAGCCTCCCGGTGACTCATCGGCAAATCCGAGGGCTTATAACTAAAAAACACTGAACATATCCGTGATTGTTTGGTTATTTATAAAGATATTTGTTATAGACGGAATGTTTACACTGCACGGAAACGTATTCATGTAACAGAAACGCCCTTCAAATACGGTTTGTTTGTATGTTATTAAGCACGAGGTTACACAATGGGCTATTTGTGCTGTGCCCACCGCGAGTATCGAAACCAAGCCAGCTGTTCAACGAGGATTATGTTCCCTTACATAACATCCTGACATTGATAGCAGCACTTATTAATCATGATCATAAAAACTTGAGACACATTTTGTTCAAAACAATAAGAAACTTTGAGTCTTTGGATTAGACCAAATAAACATTGTTGTATTCAATTTTTTATGTCTAACTCATTTAGGAAAAGTGATTGAATTATGAAAGTTTCGTTCACAATTTTATTTTGTGTTATGATCCAACGAGTTTAATAAGATGTTATATCATGTAAACACTACGATGAATTTCGACATACTCTACTATTTACTATGCTGCTTTCACAGAAGTAGGATCAAATAAATTTGGTTTAAACTTAAACTTAAAGTTGATAACACAGGAAAAACAAATACACACGGTCGGTCGTAACTTGAAACAAACAATAAAATCAAATATAAAGAATACTTTACTATCAAGTATTTACTTTTTTCCAAAAGAAACCGGATTCTCTCCTAAAGAGCCAAAATTGGTTCCAGAATTCACATTTTCTCTATAACTGGCCAATCACAAACTGGATTCTACAATCATGGATGCATTTCTACATCCACGTTATACTCGAAAAATAACCTAATACATAGGATGATATATATTATAGCTATCCTGTAATACAATAATTACCGAATCTTGCTTTAGAAGAACAACTAGAGATAATTTAGCATGTAACAGATCGGTCTTCTCTGGTTCTGAACTAGGACTCAGCAAAATAACCTAATACATAGGATGATATATATTATAGCTATCCTGTAATACAATAATTACCGAATCTTGCTGTAGAATAAAAACTAGAGATAATTTAGCATGTAACAGATCGGTCTTCTCTGGTTCTGAACTAGGACTCAGCAAAATTCAAACATTTCGTAACCTTATGTACCTCGCTACCATAACTATAAGCAAGACAAGTCATATCGTTATTAATCGTAAACAAGGCAAAGTGACATCAATCTTAAAAGTAAGCAAGAGAAGGTCACATCATTCTTAAACGTAAGTAAGATAAAGAAAGTCACGTCATTTTTAAACGTAAATAAGGCAAAGTGACATCATTCTTAAAAGTAAGCAAGAGAAGGTCACATCATTCTTAAACGTAAGTAAGATAAAGAAAGTCACATCATTTTTAAACATAAATAAGGCAAAGTGACATCATTCTTAAAAGTAACAAGAGAAGGTCACATCATTCTTAAACGTAAGTAAGATAAAGAAAGTCACATCATTTTTAAACATAAACAAGGCAAAGTGACATCCTTCTTAAAAGTAACTAAGAGAAGGTCACATCATTCTTAAACGTATGTAAGATAAAGAAAGTCACATCATTTTTAAGACGTAAACAAGGACAAAGTGACATCATTACTTAAAAGTAACTAAGTGAAGGTCACATCATTCTTAAACGTATGTAAGATAAAGAAAGTCACATCATTTTTAAACGTAAATAAGGCAAAGTGCCATCATTCTTAAAAGTAAGAGAAGGTCACATTATTCTTAAACGTAAGTAACATAAAGAAAGTCACATCATTCTTAAAAGTAAACAAGAGAAGGTCACATTATTCTTACACGTATGTAAGATAAAGAAAGTCACATCATTTTTAAACGTAAATAAAGCAAAGTGACATCATTCTTAAAAGTAAACAAGAGAAGGTCACATCATTCTTAAACGTAAGTAAGATAAAGAAAGTCACATCATTTTTAAACATAAACAAGGCAAAGTGACATCCTTCTTAAAAGTAACTAAGAGAAGGTCACATCATTCTTAAACGTATGTAAGATAAAGAAAGTCACATCATTTTTAAGCGTAAACAAGGCAAAGTGACATCATTCTTAAAAGTAACTAAGTGAAGGTCACATCATTCTTAAACGTATGTAAGATAAAGAAAGTCACATCATTTTTAAACGTTAATAAGGCAAAGTGACATCATTCTTAAAAGCAAGAGAAGGTCACATTATTCTTAAACGTAAGTAACATAAAGAAAGTCACATCATTCTTAAAAGTAAGCAAGAGAAGGTCACATTATTCTTACACTTATGTAAGATAAAGAAAGTCACATCATTTTTAAACGTAAATAAGGCAAAGTCATATGTTTTAAGACATATGCAAGCCAAAGTTAGGGCATTCATTCTTAAGCATATTAAATATAGATAGAATAAAGTCTAAATTTATTTAATTTTAAGAGAACGTCGTCTAATATTCCTGTGCTGGTATATTATGAGATATTACACAGAAAACACATAAGCATTTACTTTTTTTGGCATTTCTTTGATTTTATATCCACAAATTTCTGTTTACTAACTAGTTCAAATTTTTAGATAATTAATTTATGTTTATATGTGGAAATAATATTATTGTTTATTAATATTGTTTGGATAAGTTAATGTACTATCTTTTCACAGCGGAGTCTAAATCCACAAAACTTCTTAACACTGAAATCACAACTAATTCATCAATAGAGGGCAGCGCAAGTACGATAAAACGATCAACAGACCTTTCTCGGATATCAACAGTATCTTTAATAAGTCCTACCGTTCCAGTATCGTCTACGTTAAAGACAGCATCAGCTACAAAAGGTATAATTTATTAAATATGTAAACTCTTTCTAAATTAAATTTTGAATGATAACAAATTCGCTATTCAAATGAGATTGCTAATTTATACTAATAATGGCTGGAGACGGCTTGAATGGGTAATGAAGAAAAACTTTAATATAACAGCAAATCTACAACGTTT